TGGGATTCTCTGGAGAACAAGTACATGTCTGAAGATGCATCTAGTAAGAAATTCCTTGTCTTATAATTTAATTAGTAATATTAATAAGTGACAAAAGGAAGAGTTTTGTCGTCCTCACAGTAGTAGATCTTAATTTGTTAGAGTTCTACATTTATCCTAACAATTTTCAATTAATTCCTTTTATGTCGTATTAATCTTATCTTTCAAAATCTTGTCCTTGACTCAAGAAAAAGATAAATATCTAAGAAACAAAAAGAAAAGAAAAAGCTGGAAAGTCTAAAAGCATCAATTGTGATTGACAGAAAGCAAAAAAGCTACAACGTGATCTCAAAACTTGCATAGGAGATAAAAAGATCTCAACTTTCGCAATGCAGACGCTTACGTGGAACAAAAGTACAATAATTTCTACGGTATTTAAAAAAGTAGATCACTGCCCAACTATTGATTAAGTGACAATTGTCTCCTTGCATCACTGCAGAGACTGATTTTACACACGGTCAAGGACAGATTTTGAAAAATAGGATTAACATGGAACCTAAAAAGTTGGTAGTGTACTCTTCAAAAAAAAAAAACCCAGATCTCAAAATTGAATTTCAAATGCGACTCAGTTTCTTTTTACAAGATTTAAGATCAATTTTCTGCAAGTTTTTGCTTATTGGATTGCAGAATCATACTTAGATAAGTAATTTCTTGTCCAATTTGACTTTACCCCTCTGTTTGAAGACCTGCATTGTTAACCCGTTGCATAATTAACTTTCTACCTTTTCTGTTGGAATGACAAAGGGACCATGCATGACAATAACTTCTAATACCTTTATTGCTGTTAAATACCTTCATTCTCCACCATAAGCTAGAGGAAAAATATATGTTTGGTAGTGGTGGATCTGTTCTTTAGAAATCGTAGATCCGCCACTGTCTATTACCTGTCGTCCAGCAAAATTTATTTTACAAGGATCTCACACATGGGAAAATAACTCAAGATGTCATGTTTTGTGGTATGACCAATTCTTCTGACTTAACATCTCCGCAAAAAGTCAATTCTCCATTCAATGGATCTTTTGTGATTTTGTCAGCTGGAATTTTGTTCCCCTTCCCCCCGTGTCTGCGATGGTTCTGTGTGGCCCACTCCTTCATGGCAGCAACCCAGGTATATTTCTGCTTCCTTGTTGATTTGGTATGTGAGCTGTTCCTTTCCACATGAACTTCGAAATGTTGTTGACAATGTTCTCCATCCCTCGGGTCGCCTTGACATGTGCCATTGAATATGTTTAAGTTATTGAAGACTCGGTATGTATAAATTTTAGATATCTCTCCCTAGCTTCTGAAATTTTCCTTCTCCCTTCTAAAGTCAGGATTAGGATTTTACATATTCAGTCCACTCTTATTCAATTTAAGAAACTTCTCCTTCTTTCGTCAAACTCATACAGTTTAGCGCATCTTCTTCTACTCCATTAATTTCAAAGGATTCATTGTTACTCAAAGATCCATATAACTGATATCGATTCCACTTGTAAAGGCTCCCAATGCCCCTCATAACTAATGACACTGGTTACTATTCTTTGTTTCCTATAGCATGTTTCAATAGTTCACTTAGACATTTGGTATGATGGCGCAGATGGAAATCGAAGACTCTTAAGTAGTTTTCTAAGTTCTTGGTTTGACAATGTAGTCACATATAAGATATTGTGGATACTCTGTCAAAACTAATAAAACTTGTCTATGAGTCAAACAAATTGATAATAGGTATGTTGGAAAAAAACTGTAGGTTTAGAGTACAACTAAATACCAAGATAGCTTATCTAACACAAAGAAAAACATTTAGTTCTCACTTCTCAATAACACTACAGCTCTCTATGTGATTAAGTTTAAAACAAGCTATAGAAGTTGAGTGCAACTAAATAGTATGTATAGGTGGTGGAAAATTCTTAATTTCTTTTATTTAGTTTGTTATGATGACAAAGATTAACAAATTCAAATTTTTCGGTACTCATAGATGTACAATACAGGAACATCGTTGACTACAAGTACAAGATATAATTCTGCAATATTGGTAAATCCATTCTATCCGTAGGCTGCAGAACTGATGAACTGGTATAAGATACATATACGAAAGTACTACAACAATATTGTCATGGACAAAAAGATAATTATGTAAATCACCAANCAAGAGAAATAAATGCCAAAAACAATAACTGATGCGGCGTGCATCCCGATCCCTCAAAATAAGCAATAACAATATCAATATTCCAATAATACAATATCAATATTCTCCCTTATTCCTCCTTGTTGCGGCGCAACCCGATCCCACCTGTCCTCCCTTGTTACTCCTCAACACATATCACCCTTATTCCTCCTGTTGCGGCGCGGAACCTGATCCCACATGTTCACCCTTATTGCTCCTTGTTGCGGCGTGCAACCCGATCCCACCAGACAATCACAATTTTCCCTTATTCCTCCTGTTGCAGCATGCAACCCGATCCCAGCATATGTATATATATCAACACCAATCACAAAGAATAAATACAAGGTGTTTCACAAGTTAACTCAATTTCCACAACTCTTGTACTTCAACTACACGATGGAATATCGCTACGATTATGAAACTTTACTCATGAAAACAAATCAGCGAGACCAACCAACGTGTACCATAAGGAACCAATGAATCCATAGAAGCTAACGGGGTAATATAATGAAGCTATGAAACCAATAATATCTCAACGGGAACATCAACAATTAACATGAAACAATTAAATAATTCAATAAAGAGAACAACGGTTAATATGAAGCAATTAGACATGGAACATTTGTGATCAAGTAGCAATTAAGGCATGGAAACAGTTTAAGCAGGTAGCAAATAAAACAAGAAATAGTATAATAGTAAACATGGAAGGGAACAAACTAAAAAAGGAAGTTTGGTGGCGTGTACATACTCATCACCACACCTATACACCACACGCGTGAGATTTCACTTAGCACATAAGACAGGGATTCCTATTCCCTCAAGTCAAGGTTAAACCAAACACTTACCTCAAGCCAACGGATAATTCAACACTCAACCACCGCTTTACCTCTCAATTCCACCACCAATCCGCTTGTATCTAGTCATAATTTACTTAATAACATTAATAAATGCTAATTAAACCAATTCCAATGCATGAATATGGCATATTTCCCAATGTTTTCCCAAAAAAATCAAAACCAGACCCCGGGCCCGCTAGGTCAAAACTCGAAGTTCGGACCAAAATCCAATTACACATTCACTCCCAAGCACGGATATGTAATTGGTTTTGGAATCCGACCCCAAATTGAGGTCCAAATTCCCCAAATTCGAAATTCCTAAATTCTACCTAAGAGCACCCAATTTTCCATGCAAAACCCTAGATTTTGAGATGAAATCATGTAAAAAGATGAAATAGATTGAAGAAAATGTGTTAGAAATTGTTTACTTATGAATTGGGGAAGAAATCTCTTCAAGAAAATCGCCTATGGGAGTTTAGGGTTTGAAAATTTGAGAAGGGAAGTGAAAATCTCGTCCAGATGATGTTTTGATCAGATGCAGATATCGCAATTGCGAATGTTTGCGAAGCTCGCAATTGCGAGAAGGGCATCGCAAATGTGAACCTTCGCAATCTCTGCTGCCTTCACATTTGCGACAATTATGTTGCATTTGCGACTTCTAGCCTGCCTGGACAACCTTCGCATTTACGAAGTAAATCTCGCATTCGGGAGAAAAGCTGGCCCTGACTTCTTCGCATTTGTAAAGCAAAAGCTCGCATTTGCAGGTCACTTCTTACATCGCAATTGCGATGCCTGATCTCGCAATTGCGAGATCAGAGGCCTGCTACACAGCTGCAACATACCAGCAATTTCCCTAAGATCAAAATCACTTTGTGGCCTATCCAAAACTCACCCGAGCCATCGGGGCTCTAAATCAAACATGCACGCAAGTCTAACAACATCATATGGGCTTGCTCGTGCGATCAAATCATCAAATAACATCAACAACTACGAATTTAGCCTCAAAACTCATGAATTTCACAAGATAGTTCAAATTTCTATTTTCTCAACCAAGGGTCCGATTTATACCAAATCAACTCCGGTTCTTATCATATTTCATAGATATGACGTAAATATTAAATTAAGCCTGTACTGGGCTCCGGAACCAAAATACGGGTACGATACCATCAAGATTTTACACCATTTTATTTCCAAAAGTCCTTATGCTTTCCAGCATATAATTTTCTTTAAAAATTAGTTTCGGGCTAGGGACCTCGGAATTCGATTTCGGGCATACGCCCAAGTCCCATATTTTACTACGGACCCTACGAGACCGTCAAATCACGTGTCCGGGTCCGTTTACCAAAAATATTGACCGAAGTCAACTAAAATTATATTTTTAAACCAAAATCATTATTTCTTAAAAAATTTCACACAATAGCTTTCCGGTATCGTGCCCGGACTGCGTAGGCAAATCGAGGAGAGATACAAGAAGGTTTTCAAGGCCTCAGAACACGGAAATGGACTCTGAAACAAAAGATGACCTTTTGGGTCATCACATCTCAACTGCCCGAACAAGTGGATCGAGTTTATTCAACATTCTTTTCTCTGTTGTGAGAATCTAGTTCTTCCAATGTAGAGTTTAAACACCATATTGTTATCAGGAACTGAAATCTATAATACTGAAACTCTCAAGATATCAGTTCTTTCTGATTATAATCTCAAATATCATGTTGAAAAATACCAACCATGCACAGGTGCCAAGTGAAATTCTAAGTTTTCTTAATGCAGTTTGAGCCATCAATGGAACGTGCAAAAACAAATCCGTCTTATTCAAAACTCAAAGAGGACATGGCCTCTTGTGTCCAAGAGGACCAAGAAAACAAAATCCAAAAAGAAAGAAAAAACAGACCAAAAAAGAACAAAATAATTCTAAGATTGCCTCCTAAATTTCATGCCAAAACTTGACTAGCCCAACTAGCTAGCATTTCAACTAAACTAAACTAATCAAAACCCATGATCATGTCGTTGCCAAAGCTCCCTATCATCCTTTCAAACTTGACCATCTTCTTCCTCTCTGGCTCTGTTGCCTTGTCATGCAGAGAAGCCGGTGACGATGATGGCAAGATGACTTGTTCACTTTGAGCATTGGCAATCCTCTTAAGCCTCTTCTCACTTATACCAAATGCAGCTGCAAATTCTGGCCCTCTCAAGCTCTGCATCAATGAGTTCTTACCCACCAAGAACTGCTGATGGTTTCTCCTTGCTGATGTCGTGAAACCAAAGAACTCAAACGGGCCATTTGTTGAAGCAATTTGGCAGAAGGGGAAGTACCTCGGCACCCAAAAAACGTCCCCTTCTCGTACTCTAGCGTTCATGGCTAAAGTCCCATTTGGATACACAATTTGGACTCTGCCTGTCCCTTTCAACACTATTCCATACTCTATTGCCGTTGGATTAACATGAGGTGCCATCATGGATCCCTACATTAACCAACAAACTTAGATAAACACATGCAACAAAGAAAAAAAAACATACTATTACAATACATTTTGGACCATGTCAACTAAGATTTGCTTTCACAATAGGAGATTTGAGATTTTTCTTAATCAAAGTTCACCACNATATCCACCTTTCACCAATTTCATGACCCCAGCATCAGTTTTCACTACATCATGTAAGTGACGCAGCAAAAACCATTTTTCTCCTTGAGTTCTTTGCTCACTTTCTTCCTCATCTCTTTCTCTCCAATGCCCGCCAACAGAGGCCACTAGTGCAGAGAAAAATACCAGCACTAATAGCAGCAGACTCTTTCTCTTTTCCATATTTATCGTCTCGTAATAAAAAGACAAGTTTTCTTTAATCGATTTTGGTTCACTGTTGAGTGAGGTGCAGTGTATGTAACTGTTTATATAGAGGGAATGGTGAGATTTTAGGGGAGCTGTTGTCAACCGTGCAAGACTTCTAGGCTTTTTCGGTACACTAAACGTTGAGATCCTGAAAAATATATGAAGAACCGATGAAAAGTTGTTTTTGCTGAAGTTTTGTATACAGAACTAAATGATGTAGCAAAGTTTCAATTTGATGACCACTTCAAAAGGCTACTCTAGCGCAATAAAACAAAGGATTTATAATGACACTAATTTAATAAATTAACAAACATACAAATTTTCTTACACATTTAGTTTTGGCTAAAACAAATGTTATAGAGTTGACCTATATTATAAAAAAAGCTTAGTTGTTGATCAGACTAATAGGTGGCGCTGGTGCCCTGTTCTACGCTTCTATCTTAGTCCATCGCAAATTTCGGCAGTCGGCAGCTATTTTTATTATTAGCATCTTATGATAGTGTGGACCTCTTTTCCAAACTTGACAAGTTTGGTGGAGTTGATTTCCCCCGTTGACAAAAGAAAATGCGCTTCCTCCTGACAACACTAAAGGTTGTGTATGTGATTTCCACCGCTCGTCCACCGGAGGCCAATGAAAGCGAAGAGGAACCACTGGAAAGCATAAGGGCAAGGATGAAATGGGACAATGATAACTAATCTGCCGAGGCCATATATTGAATGGAATGTCGGTTGCTTTCTTCGATATTTATCAACATGTGGAGACCACTAAGAAACTGCGGGATTCTCTGGAGAACAAGTACATGTCTGAAGATATGCATCTAGTAAGAAATTCCTTGTCTCATAATTTAATTACTAATATTAATAAGTGACTAAAGGAAGAGTTTTGTCGTCCTCACAGTAGTAGATCTTAATTTGTTAGAGTTCTACATTTATCCTAACAATTTTCAATTAATTCCTTTTATGTCGTATTAATCTTATCTTTCAAAATCTTGTCCTTGACTCAAGAAAAAGATAAGTATCTAAGAAACAAAAAGAAAAGAAAAAGCTGGAAAGTCTAAAAGCATCAATTGTGATTGACAGAAAGCAAAAAAGCTACAACGTGCTCTCAAAACTTGCCCACATACAAAGCCCAAAAAGTTCAAAGTTCCAAGTCAACAAAAATAGGAGATAAAAAGATTAAGTGCCCAACAAAAAAACTTTCGCAATGCAGACGCTTACGTGGAACAAAAGTACAATAATTTGTACAGTATTTAAAAAAGTAGATCACTGCCCAACTATTGATTAAGTGACAAATGTCTCCTTGCATCACTGCAGAGACTGATTTTACACACGGTCAAGGACAGATTTTGAAAAATAGGATTAACATGGAACCTAAAAACTAACTCTTCAAAGAAAAAAAACCCAGATCTGAAAATTGAATTTCAAATGCGACTCAAGTTTCTTTTTACAAGATTTAAGATCAATTTTCTGCAAGTTTTTGCTTATTGGATTGCAGAATCATACTTAGATAAGTAATTTCTTGTCCAATTTGACTTTACCCCTCTGTTTGAAGACCTGCATTGTTAACCCGTTGCATAATTAACTTTCTACCTTTTCTGTTGGAATGACAAAGGGACCATGCATGACAATAACTTCTAATACCTTTATTGCTGCTAAATACCTTCATTCTCCACCATAAGCTAGAGGAAAAATATATGTTTGGTAGTGGTGGATCTGTTCTTTAGAAATCGTAGATCCGCCACTGTCTATTAGCTGTCGTCCAGCAAAATTTATTTTACAAGGATCTCACACATGGGAAAATAACTCAAGATGTCATGTTTTGTGGTATGGCCAATTCTTGCAAAAAGTCAATTCTCCATTCAATAGATCTTTTGTGATTTTGTCAGCTGGAATTTTGTTCCCCTTCCCCCGTGTCTGCGATGGTTCTGTGTGGCCCACTCCTTCATGGCAGCAACCCAGGTATATTTCTGCTTCCTTGTTGATTTGGTATGTGATCTGTTCCTTTCCACATGAACTTCGAAATGTTATTGACAATGTTCTCCATCCCTCGGGTCGCCTTGACATGTGCCATTGAATATGTTTAAGTTATTGAAGACTCGGTATGTATAAATTTTAAATATCTCTGCCTAGCTTCTGAAAATTTTCCTTCTCCCTTCTAAAGTCAGGATTAGGATTTTACATATTCAGTCCACTCTTATTCAATTTACGAAACTTCTCCTTCTTTCGTCAAACTCATACAGTTTAGCGCATCTTCTTCTACTCCATTAATTTCAAAGGATTCATTGTTACTCAAAGATCCATATAACTAATATCGATTCCACTTGTAAAGGCTCCCAATGCCCCTCATAACTAATGACACTGGTTACTATTCTTTGTTTCCTATAGCATGTTTCAATAGTTCACTTAGACATTTGGTATGATGGCGCAGATGGAAATCGAAGACTCTTAAGTAGTTTTCTAAGTTCTTGGTTTGACAATGTAGTCACATATAAGATATTGTGGATACTCTGTCAAAACTAATAAAACTTGTCTATGAGTCAAACAAATTGATAATAGGTATGTTGGAAAAAAACCTGTAGGTTTAGAGTACAACTAAATACCAAGATAGCTTATCTAACACAACGAAAAACANATGCTTGTTTTTCGGGCACTTTTTAAAAAAAAATTACATGTAGTAATCTTTTATGTGATATGATAGTGTAAAAAGTCTGAAACACTGTATAAGGTAAAGTCAAAAAATTAAGTTTACCATGGTGAACAAAGAGGAGAAGATTGGAATCAAGGTACTGAGGGATGAAGAGGCTATTGGGTTCCATAGAGATGAAACCAATATGCATTGTACTATTGAAAGATGTTCCTCTACGATATCCACCTTTCACCAATTTCATGACCCCAGCATCAGTTTTCACTACATCATGTAAGTGACGCAGCAAAAACCATTTTTCTCCTTGAGTTCTTTGCTCACTTTCTTCCTCATCTCTTTCTCTCCAATGCCCGCCAACAGAGGCCACTAGTGCAGAGAAAAATACCAGCACTAATAGCAGCAAACTCTTTCTCTTTCCCATATTTATCGTCTCGTAATAAAAAGACAAGTTTTCTTTAATCGATTTTGGTTCACTGTTGAGTGAGGTGCAGTGTATGTAACTGTTTATATAGAGGGAATGGTGAGATTTTAGGGGAGCTGTTGTCAACCGTGCAAGACTTCTAGGCTTTTTCGATACACTAAACATTGAGATCCTGAAAAATATATGGAGAACCGATGAAAAGTTATTTTTGCTGAAGTTTTGTATACAGAACTAAATGATGTAGCAAAGTTTCAATTTGATGACCACTTCAAAAGGCTACTCTAGCGCAATAAACAAAGGATTTATAATGACACTAATTTAATAAATTAACAAACATACAAATTTTCTTACACATTTAGTTTTGGCTAAAACAAATGTTATAGAGTTGACCTATATTATAAAAAAAGCTTAGTTGTTGATCAGACCTATATTTCCTTTTATGTCGTATTAATCTTATCTTTCAAAATCTTGTCCTTGACTCAAGAAAAAGATAAGTATCTAAGAAACAAAAAGAAAAGAAAAGGCTGGAAAGTCTAAAACCATCAATTGTGATTGACAGAAAGCAAAAAAGCTACAACGTGATCTCAAAACTTGCCCACATACAAAGCCCAAAAAGTTCAAAGTTCCAAGTCAACAAAAATAGGAGATAAAAAGATCTCAACTTTCGCAATGTAGACGCTTACGTGGAACAAAAGTACAATAATTTCTACGGTTTTTAAAAAAGTAGATCACTTGCCAACTATTGATTAAGTGACAAATGTCTCCTTGCATCACTGCAGAGACTGATTTTACACACGGTCAAGGACAGATTTTGAAAAATAAGATTAACATGGAACCTAAAAAGTTGGTAGTGTACTCTTCAAAGAAAAAAAACCCAGATCTGAAAATTGAATTTCAAATGCGACTCAAGTTTCTTTTTACAAGATTTAAGATCAATTTTCTGCAAGTTTTTGCTTATTGGATTGCAGAATCATACTTACATAAGTAATTTCTTGTCCAATTTGACTTTACCCCTCTGTTTGAAGACCTGCATTATTAACCCGTTGCATAATTAACTTTCTACCTTTTCTGTTGGAATGACAAAGGGACCATGCATGACAATAACTTCTAATACCTTTATTGCTGCTAAATACCTTCATTCTCCACCATAAGCTAGAGGAAAAATATATGTTTGGTAGTGGTGGATCTGTTCTGTAGAAATCGTAGATCCGCCACTGTCTATTAGCTGTCGTCCAGCAAAATTTATTTTACAAGGATCTCACACATGGGAAAATAACTCAAGATGTCATGTTTTGTGGTATGACCAATTCTTGCAAAAAGTCAATTCTCCATTCAATAGATCTTTTGTGATTTTGTCAGCTGAAGTGTTAGAGCTTGACGAACTCATTTTTGAATGCAGAATGAAATGATGCCTCTTCAACCTATTCGGCAACGTCTTGCTGACAAAGTGTTCAAAGTACAACTAAAGAAATCATTTTCCAGGACATCGGATGAAACACCAGCAAAGTTGTTCATTCTGTCGTATGTTGAAAAGCAAGATACTCTCCAATTGCCAGCACCAACAACTTTGACAAATGCTGGAGAAAGCAGCAAAAGAGAGCTTGGCAATCTGTCATCCCCGCAGGAACAAAAAGAACTGATCACGGAAGCTACATCATCTAGCAAAAGACAACAGACTGAGTGGAAAACTCCAACTAGAAAAAATTCTTCTTCTAGCAGAAAGCAAAATATTGAGCCAGTCACTCCGGCAATGAAAAAGTGAAGGTTAGTAAACTATCTTGAATACGTCGTATACTGAAAAATAGGTTGAGTGCATAGACAATAAAAACTACAACTGATGAACTATTAAAATTCCTACCGCTAGAATTAAGTGGATTATTCCTCATTTATATATCGAAATTTAGAAGA